GTGGCCCAAAGTTTAGGTTTTACAAAACTTGAAGACTTGTTAAAATAAACTGAGTATATATTTCCATTTTTAATTAAGTAGAAGCATTCTTTAACTTTTAAACACTTTTGTAAGTTGGACTACAGACTGTACAGATCGCTCTATAGTGGGAAAGTCTGAACATTTCTCTGTGCTGGTAGAGCGGATGGTTAAGTGACATGGTCTACCAGTATGCTGCCAACAATGCAAGCTGTGAGTGCAGATAAGTGTCTTCAAGGGCTTTGTTTTCAGGAAAATGTGTAATTCTCAAAGTGAAGTAGACTAAAATGAAACTGACTAGTCTCTTGTCATCGACCAGCGCCAAGAAAAATGTAAGAAGTGATGAGCATAACTGGTGCAATAATTTATTTTAATTATATTAAAGTATTATTTGTATAATAAGGAATTTTTTTAACCCCTCCCCTTAAATTCCATAATGTTATTCTCACACAAAACAAACAATTACATTTCCCTTGCAGTTAGGATCCAGTACAGAGCCTACAACTAACAGGAATTAGCCACAAATATTTGGGGCTTACTGACAACCTTTCACTTCAGAAAAAACAGACATATGTGACGTGTTTCAAAAAGTTACAAATCACCCTACAAAACCCATTAAACAACATATGAAAGCTGTCCAGTAAAACCTCGTAGCTGTGAGTATTAAAGAAAAAACAGGGCATTTCAAATACTTGGAGACAGCAATTCAGTTATAACTAAATGTGCTGTGTCAATCAAGGTGAGTGAGCACATAAAAGATTAATTTAAAACCTTCCCTCCCAAACTATTAATCAAGAGGCTACAGTCAAAAGTGATCAAAAAGATGGTTCAGTAATTAGCACCATGGTGAGAATGGTGTTACAACAGTATACGGACGGCAATTGTTCACGGAGATTGTTCCAAATCTGTCTTTTGCTGAGAATAATTAAAAGTGGCCTTACTAGAAGGATGATCAAACCTGTGGAAGTATTTATAACTGGATTTTAATCACCCTGAATAGCATGTACAAGTAAAAAAAAAGTTTCTCTGAATCAACTATAAGCTTACATGTTTTATCTGAAAGGAATACCATCTTCATCAAAACAAGATTGAGAGGACAAGCTGTAAAATGCTCTCAATATATCTTCAGCTGGAAACATCTCCGTCATTTCCATGTCATACAAATAATTCTCTGTTCTCTTCAGACAGCTTTTCTTGCTTTGTTATTTTAATACATTCCTCAATGTCTCTTAGGAGTTATGTTTTCTGTTTTGCCAAAGCCAAAAAGCCCAAACAAATCTTACACCTCTGTAGAATAAGCATGGGAATCCCAAGAAAGCATATTCCAAATTCCAAGATGCTGTAAACAACATCCTGTTAGATCAATAATTGCCTTTTTTCTTATATAAAGCAGAATTATTGTGGAACTATTCTTTAGTCACTTTGAAGCACATTGGTTATCATATATCATTTGCAAGGGGTTAAAAAATGACAATGAGATCAGCTCAAATTCCTCCTTTAAGGAAAGATATCACAAAATATGGAGAACCTGGAAGAGTTTTACCATCAGCTTAAGACCAACACTGTAGGAAGAGAGAGAAACTTTCAGTTTTCTTCCTCCATGCAGCCATAAACACTTTACAAGTTGGCCCATCCATTATCAGCAGGCAGAGGCAACATGCTAGTTATATGCATTGGCATAATTATTTGAAGATTCATTTAGACCCGCAAGTGACACTGAGAAAACACACACACTAATTTGGAACCCTCAGTCTAAAAGACATATTTGCCTTTCCATGAGAAAATACTGACAGAGAATTTTATGCTCAGGAATCTGCTTCATGCCCTTCTTAATCTATTGACTTTAAAAAAAAAATAAATAAATAAAAAGGCAGCAAAGAGAAGACTTTCCTCCTCTTGACCAGAGGTATGTGCACCCAGTAGGCATCCTACTTATAAAGGATCAGGTGACTTACGGTACTCAGATAGTACAAGGATAGGTGTGGTAAGAACCTAAATAAAATGACAAACATATAAGCATGACCCTAACAAAATGAGGTTTTACATAGTCTTAGCCCTGGTCTACACTATGAGTTTAGGTTGAATTTAGCAGCGTTAGATCGATTTAACCCTACACCCATCCACACGACGAAGCCATTTTTGTCGACTTAAAGGGCTATTAAAATCGATTTCTGTACTCCTCCCCGACGAGGGGATTAGCCCTGAAATCGACCCTACTGGGTCAAATTTGGGGTAGTGTGGACACAATTCGACGGTATTTGCCTCCGGGAGCTATCCCAGAGTGCTCCATTGTGACCGCTCTGGACAGCACTCTCAACTCAGATTCATTGGCCAGGTAGACAGGAAAAGCCCCGCGAACTTTTGAATTTCATTTCCTGTTTGGCCAGCATAGCGAGCTGATCAGCACAGGTGACCATGGAGTCCCAGAATCGCAAAAGAGCTCCAGCTTGGACTGAACGGGAGGTACTGCATCTGATCACTGTATGGGGAGACGAATCCGTGCTATCCCAACTCCGTTCCAAAAGACGAAATGCTGGAATATTTGAAAAAATTTCTAAGGGCATGAAGGACAGAGGTTATAACAGGGACCCGCAGCAGTGCCGCGTGAAGCCTACCAAAGAACCAGAGAGGCAAACGGCCGCTCCGGGTCAGAGCCCCAGACATGCCACTTCTATGATGAGCTGCATGCCATTCTAGGGGGTGCCCCTACAACTACCCCACCCCTGTGCTTCCCTCCTCCCCCACCCCTCCCGGGCTACCTTGGCAGTTATCCCCCCATTTGTATGACAAATTAATAAAGAATGCATGAATTTGAAACAACAATGACTTTATTGCCTCTGCAAGCAGAGATCAAAGGGGGGAGGGGAGGGCGGTTGGCTTACAGGGAAGTAGAGTGAACCAAGGGGGCAGGTTTTCAAGGACAAACAAACAGAACTTTCACACCGTAGCCTGGCCAGTCATGAAACTGGTTTTCAAAGCTTCTCTGATGCACAGCATGCCCTGCTGTGCTCTTCTAATCGCCCTGGTGTCTGGCTGTGCGTAATCAGCGGCCAGGCAATTTATCTCAGCCTCCCACCCCGCCATAAATGTCTCCCCCTTACTCTCACAGATATTGTGGAGCACACAGCAAGCAGTAATAACGATGGGAATATTGGTTCCGCTGAGGTCTAACCCAGTCAGTAAACTGCACCAGCGAGTTTTTAAACGTCAAAGGCACATTCTATCACCATTATGTACTTGCTCAGCCTATAGTTGAACTGCTCCTTACTACTGTCCAGGCTTCATGAGCCATGGGAGCATGGCAGAAGCCTCCAGCTGGCATGATATTCCAGGCAGGACTGAATTTCCATTAGACAAAACTTGGAGAATGACCTGGAGTCATTCCCATTTTTGTCCAGGCGCCCCCGACCGACCTCACTGAGGCCGGCCAGAAGCACCCATGTCTACCCAGGCGCCCCCGACCAACCTAACCGAGGTCGGCCAGGAGCACCCACGGGACGACGACGGCGGCTAGCAGTCGTATTGCACCGTCTGCAAGGCAAGGGGATGCTGCTGTGTAGCACTGCAGTACCGCCTCTGCCAGCAGCACCGCCTCTGCCAGCAGCACCCAGGAGACATACGGTGACAGTGAGCTGAGCAGGCTCCATGCTTGCCGTGGTATGTCGTCTGCACAGGTCACCCAGGAAAAAAGGCGAGAAACAATTTTTTGCCGTTGCTTTCACGGAGGGAGGGGGGTCTGACGACATGTATCCAGAACCACCCGCGACAATGTTTTTGCCCCATCAGGTATTGGGAGCTCAACCCAGAATTCCAAAGGGCGGCAGAGACTGCGGGATAGCTACCACAGTGCAACACTCCGAAAGTTTACGCTAGCCTCGGTACTGTGGATGCACACCGCCGACTTAATGCGCTTAGTGGGGACACACACAATCGACTGTATCTAATCAATTTCTAAAAAAATCGACTTCTATTAAATCAACCTCATTTCGTAGTGTCGACATACCCTTAGAATTAGAGGTGTTGTATTCTGTTTAACTTCCTTTTAATTTCAGAATCTTTTAGAAAACATTACTTCAAAAATAATTTTGGTTTATGGCCTGACAGTTGCTGTTGCTCTTTGCCACTCTGACCCCAAATGATTTGTTAGTGTAAACCAGATTTATATAATCTCTCCCAGAATGTCACGTTTAGAATTATAGTACCCATCTCCTTCCAGCCCAGCCAAAGGCTTATTCCAATCACCCTTTAGTCAGTGAGCTCAGCTTCACCCTCAACAGTGGGTTCTTGCTCCCAGCTGTATCTAACTGCCAGTTCTGGTTCAAACTACAGTAGCTTTCATAGGTTTGCGTTAAATGGAGCCCTGCTGCTCAAACTCTCAGTGAAAGTTGCCTGCCCCTAACTATAGACTCAGACTTTAAGGTCAGAAGGGACCATTATGGTCATCTAGTCTGACCTCCCGCATGATGCAGGCCACAAAAGCTGACCCACCCAATTTCCCTTATCTCAGCTGTTGAAGTCTCCAGATCGTGATTTAAAGACTTCAACTAGAGCACCTCTCTTGAATTACAATTCAAAGAACACCATATTCCACAATTATAACTACAACCAACTGGAGTATTTCTTATTTCCCTCCAGCCCTGTCATAATTTCCTTGCCAGTTTGCCTGCAATGGCATATAAACTGTCACACCTCACCCTGACTGTTGATCAAACAGGAACTGGAGGGGATTCTGAAGGGAAAAAAAAAAAAAATTATAAAACGTGGTAGCAAAATTACAATACTTGGTAGGATGACTCAGGGGCAGGTGTAGTATCTGAAACTTCTAGCTTTTTAAAGAAAATCAACAGCTAGGTTTCATGCAAGAAGGACAGGAAAAAAAATGCATCTATTGAAACATCCCATCTATGATATAGAATACGATGAAGTAAGTGGCTACTGAGTTTCAGAAACCAAGAACAGTTCTTAACTGATGTTCTGCTTACCCTCCCTCACTTTCACCATCATCTGTATTGGCCCCTCTTGAGCTGGCTGTGAAATAAATAGAGCTGGACCCTGTGGAATCACTCCTCTCTCTAGGAAATGGGTATCGCCTCCGCCGAGTTACCTTCTGGGTTTCTTCCAGGTGGGACCTGAAAGACAGAAAAACAGTGATGACGAGAGACGTGTCTATTTCAGTCTATGTCAATTTCTTTGTTTCTAATCCCCCAATCTATTACATCCACTCCATATCAAAGGAGCAATAATTAAAATGGCTACTTGTTCCTGCTTCATGTGGGTGAAGTCACAAATTGCCAAGTTTAAAATACTGTGGGCTACACTGTAAATGAGATCAAACAAACTCGTATGCAAATAGAAAGTGTATATAATCATCCTTCCAGTGAAGAAAGATGAAGGAACATTATTTATCGTTCATATTATCAGTGCCTAAAGGCCGTAATCAGAGACAAGGACCTCACTGTGCTAGGTGTTCTATGACCACCAAACAAAAAGAGAGCCCCTGCCCCCAAAGAGCTCATGTTTTACAGGATATTCCATTCACTACGTAATCTACAGTAGATATGAATGGGACAAACATTGCTACAGAGACAAGAAAAGAGCCAGAAATGTACAGACCACAAGTCCGTCTGGTTCAGCATCTGTCTAAGACAGCTGAGAGCACCCAATGCTTAGAGGAAGGAAAACACCCACAATGCATCTAGTCTTATGTACAGTGTTGTACATGACAAGAAAACATAATTCCTGAAATAGGGTGATGATCACACATCCTGAAGCATAGATATGACTTCTCATACTGTCATTGTTTTGTACAACTATAACTATTAATTGTCATAAAGTTAAAGGCCTAAGAGTCCAGAGTAACTGTTCCACTGACCTTTGAGTAAGTGTACACCTAGGATGAAATACTGACCCCAGTGAAGTCAAAGGGAGTTTGACTTGAGTAGGGCCAGAATTTCACCTCTAGTGAACAAGCAAACTGTATAAGAGAAATATTTCGATTTATTGGTTCTAGATTTACTGGGCTTTTAATTTCACTGAATATCTCCTTATGCTTGTGTTACAAACAAATCAAAAAGGACTGAATGATTAGTTTTCACTATTCCTGTCACAATTTTGACAACTTAAAGCCAATTCCTTCCGGTTCTTTTCCTTTCCAGTTTAAATAATCCTACTCTTTAGTGGGATTGACACAAAATGAGATTGTAAACACATGCCTGTGCATGCTCAGATTATCCAGACTGTAGAATATTGAGCATACATTGGATTTCAAATTTCCTTGGCTGGCATTGGCTCTCTGTTTGGGGGAGTTAGTTGGGGGAAGATGGGACAAATTTTAGAAATCAGTAGCTTACAACCTTGCCCATTTTTAGAGCATTATTGTAATGAAGGGTGGATATGCACTGTGCGTGAGAGACTTGTCCTGATTCCCATTTATACAAGATACTTAGGTTGATATCTTTGTTAGAGAAGGCAGAGAGGACAAAATTGTTTTCACCTAAAACCTGCTGATCTGTGAGCTCTTTCAAGGCATATAGAGAGATGGTTTTCTAATTGTCTATGATTGACAAAAGGAGGGTGGTTTTGTACGTACTTGACTTCTCCAATGATCTCCCCAGCTAAACTCTGCAGGCTGTTCTTCAGCTCCTCCACTTCTTTTCGTAGCTCTATAATGTTTTTCAGCACAAAGTCCAGACGGTTCAGCACTTCCACCTGCTCTTCTCGTGTTAAAAGAGTTGTATATGTAATGCCATCACCAGCCTCCATTGGTGCTTGTCTTATAAGCAGAACTAAAAGAGTGAGAAAAAAAATTAATTAGACACAGAGGTGAGTGGCAAAGATTAGAAACAGGAAAACATTACCAGATGCTTGTTTCTGGGCATTCAAAGAGGGGAATAAAACAATGTAATAGTGCACTGTAGGAAAAAAATGAATACATCAGTGACCACTGCAATTGAGGAGTTGCTTATTTTTAAGCATGTGTTCCTTTCTTTTCATTGGTTAAAACTATTTGTCTGTCACGGGCAGGTTTTAAAGTTATATTCCCACTAAGACTAAGGTGACAGCAATTTTTAAGAAAGGCTCCAGAAGTAATCCCAGCAATTACAGGCCAGTAAGCCTGACTTCAGTACTGGGCAAACTGGTTGAAACTATAGTAAAGAACAGAATTATTAGACACAGATGAACATGATTTGTTTGGGAAGACTCAACATGATTTTTGTAAAGGGAAATCATCCCTCATCAATCTACTAGAATTCTTTGAGGGGGTCAACAAGCATGTGGACAAGGGTAATCCAGTGGATATAGTGTACTTAGATTTTCAGAAAGCCTTTGGCAAGATCCCTCACAAAAGGCTCTTAAAGCAAAGTAAGCTCTCCTGGGATAAGAGGGAAGGTCCTCTCATTGATCAGTAACTGGTTAAAAGATAGGAAACAAAGGGTAGAAATAAATGGTCAGTTTTCAGAATGGAGAAAGGTAAATAGTGGTGTCCCCCAAGGGTCTGTATTGGGACAGGTACTTCAACATATTCATAAATAAGCAGAAAAAAAAGGAGCAAACAGTGAGGTGGCAAAATTTGCAGATGATACAAAACTACTCAAGATAGGTAAGTCCAAAGCAGATTGCAAAGAGTTGCAAAGGAATCTCACAAAATTGGGTGACTGGGCAACAAAATGGCAGATGAAATTCAATGTTGATAAATGCAAAGTAATGCATATTGAAAAACATAATCCCAACTATACATATAAAATGATGGTGTCTAAATTAGTTGTTACCACTCAAGAAATGACTATGGGGTGATAGGGGTATATAAAATCATGACTTGTGTGGAGAAAGTAAATAAAGAAGTGTTATTTACTCCTTCTCATCATGTAAGGGTCACCAAATGAAATTAATAGGCAGCAGGTTTAAAACAAAAGAGAAGCAATTATTTCTTCACACAACGCACAGTCAACCTGTGGCACTTTTTGCCAGAAGATATGAAGGGCAAGACTATAACAGGTTCAAAAAAGAACTGGATAAGTTCCTGGAGGATAGGTCCATCAATGGCTATTGGACAAGATGGGCAGGGATCGTGTCCGTAGCCTCTATTTGCCAGAAGTTGGGAATGGGTGACAGGGGATAGATCACTTGAGGATTACCTGTTTTATTCATTCCCTCTGAAGCATCTGAGATTTACCATTGTCAGAAAACAGGATACTGGACTAGATGGATCTTTGGTCTGACCCAGTATGGCTGTTCTTATGACCAGGGTGGATAAAAATCAATGGTTTTTTTTTTATAAAATGCTTTCTGAGGAAAAAACCTATGTAAAGATAGTTTTAATTAAGATATCTTTGAGCTATAATGTATCTCATCATGGAATAGGGATTATAAATTCTAAGTCTATAGTATGAAACAATATATTCATGTAATGTTTAAGAAAAGTTTTATAAATGAGTTCCAATAGTTCATGGATTAGGGACCCAATTTATAGGGTTCCAGGGGCTTCTGTATTAGGGCTACCATAAGTCCGGATTTCCCCGGACACGTTCGGCTTTTCGGTCTATAAATAGCCGTCCGGGGGGATTTCTAAAAATCTAAAAATGTCCAGGATTTCCCCCAAGTCGGCTATTTATAGATCGAAAAGCAGCGGCCAAGCGCCGCTGGGCAGCCAAAGCCCCTCCGTAGCTGCGGGGTCGGGCAGCGTGCTATCCTCCCCCTCCTCCCCTCCCCTGAACGCTCCGCCCCCCTGCTCCTCCCCCTCCCCTGCTTCCCACGAATCAGATGTTCGCGGGAAGTCTGAAAACAAGCAGGGGCAGGCAGGCAGCAGCAGGTAAGCTGGGGGGGGGGGGGGGGGGAAGGGAGGCGGGGGGGGGGCGGCTCCGGGGAGGCGAGGCACGGCCCAGTCCGGCACGGCTCGGGCCCCGGGGTCCCGGCCCCGGCGGAGCAGCCCCAGCTGAGCACCCCTGGCACCCAGCGGCTCCGGCTCTGGCCCCAGCGGCTCCAGCCCAGCTCAGGCCCCGGTTCCGGCCAAGCACCCCCGACCCCAGCAGCTCCGGCGCTGGCCTCAACGACTCCGGCCCCGGGGCACTGGCGGCTCTGGCCCCGGGGCACCGGCGGCTCCGGCCCTGGCGACCCCAGCCAGAGCGCAGCCTGATTCCTGGGCTCTTGCTAAAGCCGGCCCTGGTCAGGGGACAGGGAGGGGGGATTGGATGGGTCGGGAGTTCGGGGGGGCTGTCAGGGGGGCAGGGGTGTGGAGAGGGGTTGGGACAGTCAGGGACAGGGAGCCGTGGGGTTAGATGGTCGGGGGTTCTGGGGGGGCTGTCAGGGGGGCAGGGGTGTGGAGAGGGGTCGAGGCAGGCAGGGAGCAGAGGGGGTTGGATGGGTCGGGAGGTCTGAGGGTCCTGTCAGGGGGTGGGGAGCAGTTGGATAGGGCATGGGAGTCCCAGGGGTCTGTCTGGCGGAGGGAGTGTGGATATGGGGCGGGGGTGTGGAGAGGGGTCGAGGCAGGCAGGGAGCAGAGGGGGTTGGATGGATCGGGAGTTCTGGGGGTCCTGTCAGGGGGCAGGGAGCAGTTGGATAGGGCATGGGAGTCCCGGGGGTCTGTCTGGGGGCGGGGGTGTGAATATGGGGTGGGGGCGTGGATAAGGGTCAAGGCAGTCAGGGGACAGGTTCCTAGGGGGGCAGTTAGGGTGGGGGGTTCTCAGGCGGGGGCAGTCAGGGAACAAGAAGCAGGGAGGCTTAGATAGGGGGTGCGGTTCTAGGGGGCA